GTGTGCCTTGGCAGACCAATGAGGGCACGAGATACGTTTGTGCACAGATGGAAGGCTGACAGGCAGGTAGGCCATCCAGTCATTTTAATCGGGCCGGCTAAAATGATTGGTCATGCTTTTTACAGTACTACGGCTTCCACAGATGAACATTTTTTAATGTATTTATTGTCAAAGCATTTAATGTATTCATTGTCGGGATGTTAAGGGCATTCCATGGAATATAACAAAAAGTGTTTCTGAAGTTAACTACCTACCCCACCTTTTAATGTATCTAATCTTACAAACATCTTTATTAAACTTTTAATTGGCCAACATTAGCCAACATCATGTTACGAGTTCAAGTTTTATATGACCTGTTCAGTGCTGTACCAACACCTCAGACACCTGCTAACTACATTAACTCGTAGGTTTGCAAGTGTTGGTCATCATCATCAAACTACCATCATGCACTTTGTTTTCTTTTGTCTCCAAAGTAAACAAAAATGTGTCATTCTTCTTATGTGCCGCTGAACATCATGTGACATCACTCTCACTGGTTGACGTATGAGAGTAAAATGTTAAAACCTTTTCACTAAGTACAACACACTGATCCATATAATGCTCTTCTCCTAAACTAGTTGTTTTACAAGAAGTGTTTTACCTCATGAGCTCGGTCTTCCACTTACATTTCTTAAGATCCTCTTTTGTAACTCTAGAGTTTGCAAAAAACCTGTTGCGCACACTATGGCAACATCGCATATGTATTATTTTTTTTTGTATGCTTGTGTCGTAGCCAAAAGAGAGATATTGAAACCAAGGTTTGTGCTAACTGGCAGCCCTAATAAATATATCAATCATGTTTCATTGTTGTTTTGACATATTCTATTAATTCAATATTTTTACATTACGTGTTAATGTGAACAGACAGGTTCAAGTGAAAATGAAAAAGCTGTAAGACAGTGAAATGTTTTAGCATTATTTTAACTCAACTCCAGCTGTCCTGACTTATCAGGGCCAAAATCCACCCACCGCCTTTCTGTAGTCAGGGTCCCATTGTCTTTCTTTTATTTTATACAGCTTTTTTCCTGTGGTTAAAAGGGCCCTTTAATGCTTCTTGGGGTTTTTCCCTTTCCCGTATTGTGTTAAATAGGTTTGTATGCATGTAAACGGTCTGCAAAGGCTAAAATTCCTTCGTTCCCTCCAGAGGGAGTTTCTATCCCGCAAACTCCTCCATTGGACTCCTTCGTTTCCTTCTGTAACTTAGTCACATCACGACATAACACTCACACTTGGCTAGCACCAGTGTTTCCGCCAGACCAGGGCTCAGAGGGCGTCCACCCCGAGAGCGGGGGGGGGGGGTTTATAGATACTGTCTTTTTACGTTAGTGAGCCGTATCATTTGGCTCGGCTCTCTTAAAGCGCCGGCTCTTTCGGCTCCCAAACGGCTCTTCATGTTAC